TATGAGTCTGATTGTCAAACGTCGCAATCTATGAGAGTAGGGTTCTCTCTAGTAAACTCATGAAAGGTCACGGAGTATGACGCATAAGCTCCACCCGCGGGGAAGACCCACGGTAGCCACGTATCGGTCAAGGCTTTATGTGAAGCTAGATTCGCAGAAAACTTGCAGTTCAAGGCCCAGTCCACTGTTTAAGTTGCTTACTAGTGTAGCATAGAGTTCTAGGTGGAAATTCAACTTAACAGTCTCCACTGCAGTACCGGTATATAAAACAGTGTTTTGGAACCAAAGGCAAATTTTTGTGTGCCTCTGGGATCTGGTGGGGGATTGCTGGAATTTTGTCTATTTTGGGCCTAGCCCAATAGCATTTTCAGAAATTCCTAATAAATCCTAGAGGCCCACGCAGCCCATTTGTGCAAGGCAAGAGGTGGAACAAAGTTTAGTCCCACATTGTTAGTTTAGAGGGAGTTGGACCTCTTTATAAGGGAGGTTCTTTCCCCACATGTATGAGCATGAGAACAAGAGGGGCATCCACGCGCGCTCCTCCTCCGCCGCCCGCCTCGCCACGCCACGCCTCGTCACGACGCGATGCGACGCGACGCGACGCGGGTTGCGGGAATGAGCCGAGCCAATGTCTAAATTTTTGCCACGCACGACGGGTATACAAAAGGTCACGTGGGAGTTGAAACGTTTTTCTGTAGTGGACACTGAATTCGAACGGCGCGCCTCTTCGGCCGCTGCCTATTCGCTTCGTCTCCCTTCGTTGCTTCACCTTCCGCCGCAGTCTCTTCGCGTCCTTCTCCTGTGCATATATAAGAGAGGTCGCTCCTCTCCAGAGAGACACACCAGAAGATCCCCCTCCTCTCGCCACAAAGAAAGTTCCTAAGCACTGCGCTGCTGCTACGATCTTCCCCATCCCGGCTTGCGGTGTGCACCGCAGGTCGGGACAGTAGGCCTCCGAAATCGCACCTTTTGAGTCCTGTACGAGAGAAGGGTGATAAGGTTTTTGGGGAGCGCTCAGCGCGACTACTGGCTGCTTCATCACGGACGATCCGGTCGCCGATGACTACTTCCCCGACGACGACTTCTTCCCCGACGTCCACGACCTCCTCGACAACATGCCAAGCGAGGACACCGACCCCAAGTCCAGCACTTCTGCTGCTGCTGTCCCGTACGTGTTCTTGTCTTTCCTGTTAAAGGTTCTACCACAGTTCCTTGTTCTGGTCCTTGTCCTACACATGTCAGGTTCTACTTCATATATGTACTTGCTATACTATCTGCTTTAGATATGATAGGCTACGATTCATATATGCAGAAGCTATTTACCTTCCCTCTGTCAGAACGCATGACTTGTTTTATCTCTTCTATATTAGTCATGCTTTATCTAGTATTTCTGTTAATAAAATCATTTGGTAAATTGCTCATATTTCCAACAGTGTGCAGGGAGCTGGTACTGGGACGACCCAGCAACAGTGTGGCATCGTCGTGCTGACATCACACATGTTTTTTCTCTTTTGATTTTTTATTCACGTTTTCGTAAGAAAAATTACGTTTTGTCTGTTATTTATATTTTGAAATATTCTAAATATATATATCATAAAAAATACTTCACCTAATTTTTAAAAAACCGTTAATCATGCATTTGAAAAATATTAAATATGTATGAAAAATGTCTCTAATGTATATGGAAAATAAATAATGTGAATGAAAAATAGTAGAAAATGTAAATTGTGAAGCAATAAAGATAAACAGGAACAATCCTTCAACTTTTTGATCCATCTCAGGGGCTCATTTTCCTTCCGTAACCCTAGGTGACTAGGGAAAACTCTTCTCTCCAAACTTCATCGGTGAGTCCGTGTATTCGCCTCCCCTATCCCTGCCACTTTGGTAGCCGGCAGCCGGGAAGGGAATTCCGGTGCCACCGCTCCGGTTAATAATTTAGGTTAGGGTTTTTTAGTCCTCGCAATGTGGTGCTCAGGCAGATGGCGGCACTAGTTCTTCGTGTTTGTCTTTCGGGCTCCGATTCTCCTTGAGTATGTCTGTGTGGACGTAGTCGATGGAGCTCCAACATACTTCCTTTGTCCCAAAATATAAGAACATTGTTGATACTATGCTAGGTGTTAAAATTGTTCTTATATTTTGGGACGGAGGGAGTAGATCCCTACCGTCTCTTAGGACAGTGAGGTTAGGGTTTCTCGTCTTTGTGGCGAGATTTGGTGTCAGGTGTTTCTGATCAATGCAAGGGTTCAACAGCATTGCCTGTGGTTCTAAGGCGCCGGTCCTTATGGGCACGTGCACGAAGACTTTTCGGTTGTCATCGACCAGGTCAAGTCGGCTCCCATAGGGGAGCAAGGACAACAACACATCAGCGGCTTGTTCTAGCAGCAGTATTAGTTGTTTGGGGGTCTTGGAATCTTGGTGTATTTTTTATTATATTCGAGATGCTTTGTAGTTCCGCCGAACTTTGATAATAGATCTGGACCATTTTCGCAAAAAAGTAGAAACTCTTAATCATGTATGCGGAAAATGGTAAGCATGTGTACAAGAAATGTTTGTGACATTTAAAAAATATGATGACTTGCAAAAATAAAATGCATATGACATTTAAGAAAATGCTATACATTATAAAACTTTATTGTAATTCAAACATGTCACATACATTCCAAAAAAATGTATGTTACATTTTAAAAACTATTCACTTGTTTCAAAAATGTGTTCATGACATTTTTCATACAGATGTTTGTACATGTAAAAAAATCTTGCATAGCTCCAAAAAATGTTTTTTATCATACAAAAAATGATGCCATGTGTATTTGAAAAATGTTTAACATGTATTTGAAAAAGGTTCAAACATGTTTTTGTAGAATGTTAATCATGTACTCCCTCCGTTCCGAAATAGAAGTCTTTTTAAATATTTCAAATGGCCTACAACATACAGATGTATGTAGACATATTTTAGTGTAGATTCACTCATTTTGCTCCGTATGTAGTCACCTATTGGAACCTCTAGAAAGACTTATATTTTGGAATAGAGGGAGTACTTCGTAAATGTTCAATGTGTATAGAAAAAGTTTTATATGCATAGAAAAATATGCAAAGGGTATGGAAAATTAGACACCATGCATATTTTTTAAAATGTTAACAAGTATTGTTTTTAAAAAGTCAATGTGTATGACAAAAAGAAAATTGTACGATGCATATGAAAAATGTAGACATGTGTTGAAACAATAACCCCGAAGAAAACCAAAGAAAGAAAAAAATAAAAAATAAAAACGCAATAAAAAACCCAAAGAAAAAACAAAATAAAAACCAAGGGCGAAAAAGGAACACAAAAAAACATGGTACAGTAAAGGGCCGGGCTATTAGAGCGCCCGACAGAGGCGAGACATAACTCTGCCTTGCAACGGGTGATATATAGCCCTGGTGCTTGAGTTGTTACGCCCAGCCCAGCCCATGGAAGTTCCAACTATGCCTGTTCCAGTAAAAAATTATCGCTTTCAAAGTAGAGTTGCACATTGTTTAGCAACATTTGGACGGAATGGGGATAGCACTACGTGCTGGCTAAACCACCTTCCTCTGTGTGTCAGTGAGCTAGTCGCTGAAGATTGTAATTTTATAATCTTGGAATAAATACCCTATGATTCTTGCCACATGTGACTTTTTTCTTGGAAGTTTACGTAAGAGGGGTTCATAGCTTTACGTGGATGTAGGATTATCACTTTGCTTGTCGTGGCAGTCGTTTTGCTGCATCGTTCCGGCTCTTTTTGGTTTGAAGAAATTTCCATGCTCAGCTTTATTCCATTTGCAGAAATTTTCACACTCAAACCCGAATGGTCTTCAAGAAATTTATGTGTGTTTAAAGTTCTTGGGTCCAGTATGTGTGGCAGACGTGATGAGCAACATCAAAACATTAAAAAAAACATTTTTTTGGTTACGCAGATGCTCATACCTACCCATATGAGCACTTTCAAGAGATTAAGCCGGCACATCATCTTAATATTAAAAAAAATCATCAGAGACGCTTTTGTAGTTGTCGGAAATGTCTATTTCCACTGAACGCACATCGCCGAATGCCTTGAAATAAATTCAGAAAAATACGAGAGCACTAGTGTCAAGTCTTAACCATCCAACCACGGGTGAACTAGGGATACCACTGTTCTCCTATAACCAACAAATCACATATTGGCGAACCAACCTGTGGTTGAGATGGTTAGGTGGACAGTGGTATCCCCAACCCATCAGAGTTCAAATCCTGGTGCTCGCATTATTTCTGGATTTATTTCAGGATTTCCGGCGATGCGCTTTCAGTGGGAGGAGACGTTCCCGTCGACGACGAGGCGCCTACGGTGACTTCGTAAATCTCAAGATAATATGCCGGCTCAGTCTCTCGGAGGTGCTCATAGGGGTAGGGTGTGCGTGTGTTCGTTCATAAGAATGAGTGTATGCGCGTGTATATGAGCGCTTGTGTTACTGATGCTCAACACATATTGGTTCTTTGGTCGGGTTTGCAAAGTCAACGTTTTTATCTTGGTTGTTCAGTTCCTCGAAGTTTCGTCTTGCCTTCGCCTGTACACTTCCTATTACAAATTTACACGACAGAAAAGTCTTGTGTGGACCGAAAGCTCAGGTAAACGTACTCAAACCACGCTGATCAAGCCCACATCTCCCAGACCTGAGTACCTGACCATGACCAATGAGCAATATGCGTGTGATCTGCAATTGTTTTCTCGTCACCCCACATGTCAGCCTCGTAATTCTTTTTTTTTTTTTGAGGATTGTCAGCCTCGTAATTCTTTGTTTTTTGAAAGTGCCTCGTAATTCTATTGTATACGTGACAATGACACCACTCGTTGAACCGAGCAGCGTCTTCTCTTGCCCAAGCTAATTAAGCTGTGAGAGAACACACATGCAGTTGAGTGCTGCTAAACCTGACATTGCCTTCTTCTCTTTCTTCCATCTCTTTTTTCAGTCTGGGAGTCCTGCTAAGCTTGTCGATCAGTGCCATGTCAGGGAGCACCATGGCTGGCGCGCCGGCCACGCCGGAAGGCGCCGGGGATCCGTACGAGCGGCAGCTGAACTACAGCTTCACTGGGCGCGTCGCGCTCACCGTCGTCTTCGTCCTCTTCGGGCTCACCGTCGCCATCGTCGTCATGCGCGTCCTGCTGTACGTGCTGGTGTATCGCTCTGGCCGAGGCGGAGGCCGCGGCAGCGGCGGCCTGGCCGCTGGCATCTTCCGGTCCATCAACTCGTTCGGAAGGATCGGCAGCCGGCGGCACGGGCTGGACGCGTCCGCGCTCTCCGCGCTGCCGGTCACCGTGCACCGGAAGGAGGCCGGCTCCACCAGCGCCGCTGGGGCCGACTGCGCCGTGTGCCTGTCGGAGCTCGCGGACGGAGACGCGGTGCGGCAGCTGCCGAACTGTGGGCACGTATTCCACGTGGAGTGCGTCGACGCATGGCTGCGCACCAGGACGACGTGCCCTCTCTGCCGGACGGAGGCGGAGCTGTCCCAGGGCCGGGGGGACGGCAAGGCGGAGGCGGCTGCGCAGTCGTCGTCGTCGGGCACGGAGCCGCCGCAACCGACGTTGCTTGGTGCAGGAGGAACCTTGATAGTGACCGTACAAGGTGGCTTCACGGATACCCAGAGAGACGTGCGCGGGTAAGCATCGGCGGCAGGTAGTCAATCGGCATCTCCCTTTGCCTAGCTATATAATCCAGGCATCCAGCCTCGAGGGGGACCGGAAACAAGTGTACAGTGTAACATACTACTCTATGTAGAACTAGAGACTGATTGTTCCTTCATCGCATACTAGTATAGTAAGTATGTAAAGTTTTTGTAAGAGCATCAGGTTGCAAATTTGAGTCCACAAATGTCCGCGGGCGTGCCCACAGATATTGACCGGACCGGTCTCAAATTTTACCATTTACAATTATATATGTTATTTTTAAAACATCTATTATATGCAGGGCCAATCACGACGATCATCCCGTCCATCTTGGGCCAGCTGAGATGTCAAAACACACCGAAAATTGCCCATACTTAAGTTTTTCACACCCGGTCTCATCTTGCCTCGTGACGAGCTAGTTGACCGATTTAAATAGCACGATCATCCAAAAGCGATAAGCTTCTAACATCATTGCATCATTTTCTAGATGGTACGTCACAGTAATTGCCCCGAAGTTGCCATAAATTATCCACCGTGTCATCCGTAAGGGAGGAAAAATGGTTCATTTTTATCTCAAAATACTGGTCGGGTTCCGCTGTTCTTATATACTGATACACTCACATAACATAAGCACCCGAGGAGCGCAATGGATAGGACCTCCACCCTCTTGATGGGAGACCCGGGTTTGATCCTGGTTCCTACCCCCTTTCTCTCCTTTTTTTCTCCTTCTCTCAGCAAGCGCGCCTCCTCCTCCCGCACGCTGTAATCAGCCGGCCCATTTGCAGGTCGTAGCACCCTTGTTACCTATTTTGCTTTTTGATTTTTACTTTCTCATTTTTATTTTAGTTTTTCCTTCTTCAAATTAATTCGGGATTTTCAAAAGAACCAAATTTCAAAAACTTGTGAGTTTTTTTAAAAATATTAAGAAACAATAAACTGTTTGTGAATTCAAATAACATTCGGAATATCATAAAATGATCACGATTTTAAAAAATCGTTCGCATATTATTAAAAAACACGATTTCAAATAAATGATCGTGAAATGAAAAATGTTCATGATTTTTTTTAAATATCAAGTATTCAAAACATATTTGAGAATTTTTCAAAAATGTACACAAAAACTAAAACATATTCGTAAATAATGAAAAAAATGAACCATTGCTAACGTACAAGTTTTATTAGGGATATGTAGAGGTTGTTTTATGGTTTTATTTAGTCCCTCACATCGGGTAAAAAAATGTTTCCATCTCCTGTACAATGCTGAGCCCCAAAAAATTGACACGACTTCCTATGGGTTAGTTTTTATAAGCTATATAGAAATGACTGAATTTCTATTTTTCCTTTATTTTGGTACCACAATACTAATTATGATAAACACTGCTACGCTAGATCAAGGCGAGCCACATCATTCATCAGTTTATCTCATGCAGGGTCCATCAATGCAATTTGCTCAGCCAGAAAATATTTCGTTGTGGCGCCTTAGGAAATCAAGTCATGACGAGACCATGACATTTTGAATTTTTGAAATGACTTTTTAAATGTCCCTTATCTTGTCATGACATCACTCAGACATAGTTTGTGAAATGACATTTTAAAAGTCCTTATCTCATCCTGGCATTTGATTTAGACTTTTTTTTATGTCTACCACACCTGCATAATCTAATAGTTTTTTTTACTGTTGCAATGCACGGGTATATTTGCTAGTTTAAGTTAAAAAACTGACGTAAAGGATTATGATTGGGGTTAGGGGAAGTAACAGGCCCACCCATCTGAAATTCACTCGGGTGGGGGCGTGAGTGAATTAGTTGGAAGGTTACGTCGGGACCTCCTAGGTGACGCATTTTTCGTCAAAACAAGAGCTCGACACACAAGGGCGACGCAGGACTGGGCCGGCCCATCGAGCGAAAGTACATCAACGTAAAAAAACCCCAGAAAACAAATAACCTACGCTATCCTCACACAAAACCACAGACCACGATCACCAAGCCACTCCACCACAAAGTTGTTGTCAGACATTAAAGCACCAAATACTTTAACAATAGACAGCAGGGTTGAGATTTTGGGAAAAAACATTTTAGAAGCATTTATTGATAATTTCAAACAATTTGAAATACCACAAATATTTTTTTGATATTCCAAGCTTTTTTTCTGAAAAATGTGAACAATTTTTGTAATCCAAATTTAGAAAAAACAAGAACATTTTTTTAAACCTAACAGTTTTCTAAAACATGAACAATTTTGGAAAAATTGAATATTTTCTGATATTGTGAATTTTTTGAAAACAAAGAAACATTTCTAAAATTTCTGAACATTTTTTAAAACACGAACATATTTCTGAAATTGAGAACAAATTTTGGAAATGAGAACATTTTTGAAATTCCTGTACATTTTCTGAAACATGAACATTTTATGAATGACATTCTGAACATATTGTGAAAAAGGGGAAAAAATAGAAATTCCTGAACATTTTTTTAAAACATGAACATAACAAAAATTCAAAACAAGAACATTTTTGGAATTACTGAACATTTTCTAAAACAGGAACATTTTTTTAAATTGTCAACAAAATTTTAAAACAAGAACATTTTTTAAAAATCCTGAAAGACTTTTTGAAACACGATTTTTTTTTAAATTGTGAACAAAATTTGAAAATGGAAACATTTTTTGAAATTGGGAGAAAATTTTGAAAAGGAGAACATGTCATAAAATTCCGAATAAACATTTGAAATTCTCAAACAAAAGAAACATGAAAACGAAAAAAAACAAAGAGCAAAGAAAAGAAAAGAAAAGAGAAAATTAAAACGAAAAAGAAAAAGAAACAGTAAAAGAAAAGAAAAGAAACAAAAAGGTAAAAAGGGGAAATAAAAAAACTGGTTCAGGAACCTCCTAGAAGGTTCCCAAAACCAGAAAAAACTGGCTGGGAACCACTAAAAGGTTCCCAAAACCGGATTCGCTTTAACGTTTGAACGGGCCAACCCATCCTAACGCGTTCCCTCGACTACTTACTTGCCGCAAAGAGCGGCAAATAGAAATTTCCAGTTACGTCACGTAGGTGTAGGATTTTGGTTATTGCCGTGTAGCTTTTCGGTTGTCCCTGTTGTCATTGTGTTTTTTTAACTTCACAGTTCACACCAATTGGGCCATCTCCCTAGGACTTGATCAGTAGCACTGCACACGTGGTTTTCTTTTACGTCTCAAAAAAATGTGGTTTTCTTTTAGCTCTACGGTTTTTTGAGCACATTACAGACACAAATGCTCATACATACATACATACATACATACATACATACATACATACATACATACATACATACATAAACTCATCTCTATGTACGCACAGACGCACATCCTATTCCTATGAACATCTTCGAGTGACTGAGCCGGCATATCATTTTGACATTTACGAAGTAACCGTAGGCACCTCGTCGTCGACGGAAACGTCACCTTCCACTGAAAGCGCATCGCCGAAAATACTGAAATAAATCCAGGAATAATGCGAGCACCAAGACTTAAACCTCGGTGGGCTGGGATACCACTGTCTCTCTAACCATTCAACCACAAGTTGATTCGCCGTTATTTCTTCATCAGAACTGCAACATTGTATTTTTTTGATAGCACATTGCAGATTGATGTCCTACAAATAAGCATACCAAACGTTGTTGTTGTGTGCAAGACTACAAAAGATGTTTCGTACAACTAAAAGTAATGTTTGCAGCTTATAAAAATATTCATCAATTAGAAAAAATGATCATGAAATAGAAAAATGTTGACATTTTTTTAAATGTTCGTAAAACTTAATAACATATGTAAAACTAAAAATGACAAATTTAATGGTCATCGTAGGTAATGTTAATTGTGCATTTAAAGAAATTGTTCAACGTTACAAAATGTTTATTCATTGTTCACGAAATGTTCAACTTGTATTTATAAAATGTTTGTTGATTTAAAATATGTCTGTGAATTAAAAAAAATGTTCATAAATCTAAATGGTGTTAGTAAATTAAAGATTGTTCATGAATATGAAAGAATGTTGATAAATTCCATGAATTTTAAAGATATTAAAGAATCGAAAAAATTGTCGATAAAAAATGTGATGAAATTAATATTATGCAGGAATTTGGATACACATTAATGAATTTTAAAATGTTTAGAAATTTGAAATGAATTCTATGAATTTGGAAAAAGTTTATGAATTTTTACATCACAAATTTGAAGAAAGTCACGAGTTAACAAAAAAAATACAGAATTTTTTTAAAAGGGTTCATGATTTTTTTTCAAAAAATTAGGAACAAAATAACGATAAAGAAAAATGAAAAAAATAAAAATTGCTGGACA